ATCTCCTGGGTGCATTGTTCACCCATTGGACTGTGCCCAACAGAGAAGGATCTGTGAGAAACCAGTGGACAGTTTGGCATCGTTTGGTGGAAAAACATCAGTAAACCAGCAGGGTCGTGGGTCGACACGTCAAAGGGTTCTGCTACCATAGCAACAGAGCAACAGGCCAACCCTAAAATAAGAGTAGGAGAAGAGGAGACAGCCAGAAAAGGTTCAGAGAGAAATCTCAGCAGATACCAGAGGAAAACATAGAGATACACTCTGAGCTCTGGGCAGGACCCTCCCTTTTCCCAGACTCAGTTTCTTCTGTGCAGAAAGGACCTTCCGTGGTACCCCAGGCCTCCTCAGTTTGAGAACCATTGTCTTGAAAGGTCTGGAGTGTGTTCAGGCTTTATGCACAGAGCCTTCGATAGCAGCAGTAATAACTACAGGACAGAAGGAAGAAAGGTAAAACCCATTTCCTCAGCAGTAAGATGGGGCTGGCCAAGGGACTTACTTCATAAAACTGTTGTGAAGAGTAAATAACACATAGTGCCAGCTATCATTGTCATTATCATTGGCATCATCATCATCATTATTATTATCACTATCATTATCTCATCGTCATTGCTATCATCACTACAACCAACATCATCATCATCGCCGCCACCACTGTTTTGGCTGTTGTTACTTTCACCCCAGACTCTCCTTAGCTCAGAGGCCCAGCTGGTTAATGATAGCTCTTCCTAGTATTGATATCTATCTGCAATTCTAAATCCTGGTGGTGGGCAGGGAATTCTCCTGGGATTGATTGTGCAGTGATATGCTCTTTTGCTAACTGCACGATGAATGGTGACCAGATGTCAGCTCTTCTCTAGAAAATTTGAATGAACTCAGCCCCTGCCCCCTTAACCCACAGGCACAGCCAGTATCAGGTCCATCCTTGAAGTTCAGTTGTGTCTGTCTGGAGCCCTGCTTTCTACAGGATGTACACAGCAGGGAGTGGCAAGATGGAGGGGGCCCAGTCCCAAATCTATTTCCTAAATGGCAGTCTCTGATTGTGCAACTCCTTACCGGGCTGAGTACTGTCTGTCTGTCTTAAAATAGATGAAATTGGGTAATTTTTTATTTGTCTGAAAGTCTCCTTGTATAGGAAGATAAAACTCATGCATCCAATGCATACATTTGTGGTTTAATGTAAAAATACATACTAAGTTCCTCTAAAAGATTTCCCTAATAATTCAGAGTGGAAATGGAGATCCTCATTGACTTTTTTTTCTTTTTTGAGACAGGGTCTCACAGACTGGTCTTGAGCTCACTATGTAGCCCAGGCTGGCCTTGAACTAATAGCAATCCTCCTGCCTCAGCCTCTGAGTACTGGGGTTACAGGAATGTAGCACCATGCCCAGCCCTCACTGTCCTCTTAGAATTTGCTAACCTGAATGGAAAGAATACCAAGCAGCACACCCAGTACAGCCTTCTCTGTCCCACAAAGCCATGAGCAGCTATTCCAGGAGAAAGCAAACAAAGCCCTGGCTTCTAAATGTCTCAGCCTTCCCCAACCTGGAACATTCTGGGAAGACCAGTGTGAGCTCAGGGCAGGGCCAAATCCAAGACTTTTAAGCAAGGTTTTTTATCTTAACAACAAATGCATGAAAAGAAGTATATTGCTCATTATGTTGAACATCATATAGTGACCAGAAGGAGCTGTCTGAATGCTTATTCCATAGGAGCACTGCTAAAGAGCCTTTCCTTATAGGGGGCTACAAATGCAGTGAAACTTCTCTTATGAAGAACCGTGTAAATGGGGACTTCTGCAGTGTATGAGAATATACTCTTAAGCAGCCCAACATCTCCTCTTAACTCTGCATATATTAATACTGACATTAAATTATTTCACAATACCTTGTATTTGTCCTTCCTGAAATGATTAATGTCCAGACAGAAGCAGTTGCAATTTAAGGAGGCATTCCCGAGAGGAAATGGTGCAGTCTGGCAGTGCACCACCTCCCTGTGCCCTGCCTGAAGCCATGTGCATCCTGCAGGTCTCCCTCCTGCTCGCCGGCTGCTTACCTCCATGCTGTACCTCTCCACTGTCCTTCGCAGGGGGTCCACAGCTTGCCAGCAGATCAGGATGCATAGGTCAATCAGTAGCATGCCCCCCACGATCACGAGCAGCTTCTGGTCCTTGATGATCTGCAAAGGGGACAGGCAGATGTGAGAGTGTTCCCAGACTGGAACTGAGGGGCTGGGACAGAGTAGTGACCAAATCACAGGTCCCCGGCATGAGACTCCTCATCACCCACAGGTCTACCAAGTCAAGCTCCACTGTTTGACTTTAGAGGCCTTTCACAAGCTCAGCCTATCCACTTCCCAAACACATAGGTGCACTCTGTTGAAATGTGGCCACTGCTAGTCTCTGGCCTGAGCTGTGATTTTTTTATCCTTCAAGTCTTTGTATGTGCTGGGCCTTTGGTTTGGAACACCCCATTCTTTCTCCCTGGCAAACTTCTAATTATCCTGAAAACTCCAGATCCATTTTCACCTCTCCTGAAGAGTCCCTTTTGACTTCCCCAGAAGAACTGATTATTTCCAGAGCACTTTGTTCATATACTTAATTGTTGGGAGCAACTGGTAGCAACAATGAGAACCACAGCTAATATTTAATGAACAATTACTCTGTGCCTGTCCCTAAGATGATAATCTCACATGCATTATCTCATATAAGGAAGGGTTCTACTGTTATTTCCATTTTGCAGATGAAGAAACTGAGGCCTATGTGTGGGCTCTCAGTAACTGGCTCAATGTGATAATGTTATTAAGAGGTGAAGTCCAGATTTGAACCAAATTCTTCCTTTCCCTAGAGTTCATGGCCTCAAACACCCGCAGCACTGGCCAGGTGCTGTGTTATGTCACATATCCATCTGCCCTTTTCAGTGGACTGGGAAACCCCAGACAGAAGGAAGCCTGTATGTTCGTTTGCGGATCCTCAGGATTTACCAGGCTTGGCACGCATGAAGTACTTAAAATTTTGATGAATAGCGATGAAGAGAAAAAAAAAGAAGAAACAGAAAAAAAAGAAGAAACAGAACTCCCTCGCATTCCTCTTTGCAGCCTGGGCTACTTGCATGATGCTGTGAGAGTCCTACCCACTTTACATCTGCTGATAGGAAGGGCTCTGGGGACAAACTGTCAGCCCCAGAGCTTGCCTGGGTTTTATTCATTGCAAGTTTATGTTCCCCCACTTCCAACTACCACACAGATAAAAGTGAGTGTGATGAAGTTGTTCTGGAAAATACTCATGGAGAAATAAACAAAACTGAAACAGAAGCATAAGAAATATAACCCAGTCTGGCTCTTTATGAGTAAGGCCATTTTAAAAGGAGAAACAGAAACTCAAAAGGCCTCTCTGTGGCTGGATATGAAGACAACAAAAAGAAAGTGTTGCTGAGTTACTGCTCAAAAGATCAAATTTATCAAAACCACTTCACCTGGGGACAGGGCATTGGCAAAGACCTATATTTGAATCCTTAAGTATCCAGCAAACCACTGATGCTTTATGGAAACCTGGCTTAACCCTTGCCTCCCCAGGGAAACAGAAAACTCCTCAAGGGCCTTCAGAAACAGAGGCAAAAGGAAGAAATGTCCAAGGAGTTTGAGATTTCAAAGACAGGCTGGAAGAGGCCTCTGTACTTGATGCTGGACCCAGGGCTGTTTGAGCCCCCAGGCATTGTCCATGCTGTGCGCAACCCTGGAGGCCCTCCCTGCCTTCCTGCTGATGCACTCTTATCCTGACTTCAAGAATGAGCCCAGTTTCTCCTTCATGAACCTGGCCATGCCCTGAATGGGGCACAGCCAACCTTAGAAGATGATCACCAGGATTTTTCTCTTGTATGTGATGAAATGAGGTGTGAAGTTTGAAGTAGCATGGGGCAGAGGAATTCAGGAGGACTTAGAATTATGTGGATTTGGGTTAGAATCCTGGCTCCATGTTTTGCTACTTGTGTGGTTACGGGCAAATCACTTCTTCTCTTTCTCATTCTGCATTTCTCCTTTGTAGTATGGCCGGGTAGAGGTGGGGGTTATTCTCTAAGTATGGTATAAAGGAATAACACAGGTTTTGGAGTTGAAAGACTTCATTCTAATCCCACTTCTTGCCAAATGTGATCTTTGGTGAGTTGTTCAATTTTGCTGAGTCTCAGTTTCCTCCTTGATAAAATGGGGCTATTACTCTCCAAGTTTCACAGTTGGCATTAGAATAAAATGAGATACTATACTGAAAGAATCTAGTACAGGGTCTGGCATAGAGAAGATGCTCAATAAATGGTAACTACTGTATTGGGTTTTGACCCCTAGCAATTCTGTTTAATGTGTAGGACAGTGACACCTAGGAGGCAAGTATGATATTGCACCTTAGCTCTACTAGACATAGTACTACTTATCAACAGAAGGATCCTTAGTGGGAAAGTCCTGAAAGTAATGGGAGAGAACATGTCTAATTTTCTTTTGATGCCATTTCCAAAACCTGGGATTTGACTAATGTTTGTGACTGAATGGACTTTGGCTAAGTAATTATGAATCACATTTTATTTACTAGTTGCAGAATTATTTATCGAGTACCTGGAGTCAGGTTCTGTTCTAGACACTGGGGATACAGAAGTGGACAAAACATAAACACTTTTTTTTTTAATACTGGGGATCAAACTCAGGACTTTGTGCTTGCGAGGCGGGCGGCGGAACAACTGAGCTAAATCTCCAGCCCACATAAACACTCTCTTTATGGAGCATGCATTGTAGTCAGCAAGACTAATAAGGAATAATTAAAAAAATATATCCATGCATATGTAAAATACACCATCAAGGAGAGGTGACTTACAACAAATTTAAAGCATGAAAGTGAGGAAGGGAGAGGAAAAACAACACTGTCCTGACCATATAGATCTGAGCCCCAGATCTGGCATTGGGCAAGGCCATGCCTCCAGTCTCACTATAGCTTTACCATTTATTTTCTTCTTTTTCAGGTTACTCCTCCAAAATTGCCCTGACTTCTCCCGTGGTTATCTCAGCATTCACTGATGTCATCACACGTGGGCCTGTCCTGAGCTGGGCAGCTGTCAGTGATGTACTCTCTGTCATTAGAGATGGGAGTGAAGGCAACCACGATGATCATCTGGTTCTGGAGTCAGATCTGAATTTGACATGAACTAATTGTGTGATCTTGGACAAATCCTCTGACTCCACTGAGCCAGATTCCTTGTCTATAAAATGGAGAAATACCCATATAAGCCACCTTTGGTGACCAGAGCCTGGGTTACAACAACTGTTCAGAAGAAGCCAGCTAAATGACAGAGATGACATTTCTAAATGTCACCTCCCACTGTTGTTGAGAGAAGAGATTAAAAAACTACAGATTTTGCTCACTGCCTGTTTTTGTAAATAAAGATGTATGGAAACACAGCCACACCCATTCATTTACATATTTATCCATAGGTGGTGTCATTCGATAAAGCAGACCTGAGTAGCTGCAAAAGAGAGAGTAGATCCTGCAAAATTGCACGTATTTACTACCTGGCTCTTTATAGAAGAAACTTGACTGACCTCTTGTTTAGAAAAAAGTGCATTTCTCTAGTTCTTTAAAAAACTTCAGGTATTGGACTCGTCCAGGCTGGCCTTCTTGTAGGGCCAGCTCACTACAGCCTTCAGTGTGAATAGTGCCCCTGGGTATATCACCCATTGCCCTGCCCTCCTGCCATTACTTGGGGAGCTGATTCTTCAAGGTGGCAGGAGAAGCTCTCCTCTGGCCTTTCCTTAGGCTCAGCCCAGATGAGGTTCTGTGTCACAGTCTGTGCTAGTACCAAGTTCTATTTGTCCTCAAAAACATCTGCCCCCAGAACAGAAGGTCTCCTCTCTGAGTTACTACTTCATCGCAACAGTTCAATTTGATCCTAGTGAGAGGCAGAATAAAGACTATAATAAGCTTCTTATTTAAGATTTTATGATTGGTCTTTAGAAAAAATAGTAATGAGGCATAAAAATGTTGAATTTGGGGAGAATTAACTTGTCATGTATCAATATTTTCTTTAATAGGTTTCTTTCCTTCTAATGTCTTTAAAAATGTGGCCATATGGGGTGATACTTGTGTATATGTGTTTGGGGAGGGCCTGCCACTGTAAGTGGAGTGCAAAGGGGTGGAGACTAAGGAACAAGAGAAAAGATAAGAAGACTGTAATAAAAAGGTATAGGATTGCATTTATAAATTTATGTCAAACTAACATATGTATAAGTAAAAAATTAAAAGGTCGACTAAAAATGTTCAAACTTCTTTAAAAGAAATCTAATAAAACAAGTCAGTCACACAAGGAGAGATATTGAATGATTTAATTTATGTGAGAGTCCCAGAGGAGTCAAATTCAGAGACAGAAAGTAGAAAGTAGTAGTAGCCAGACTGGGGAGGGGGAATGGGGGAATGGAGAGTGAGCAATCTTTAGTTATTCTAGGAACAGGCTAAAGGAGGGTAAGGCAGAGAAGGGAAATTTATACTTTACAGGGGTGGATCAAATATGTAGTCAAGGACCAGATTATTTTGCAAAGGTTAAGGCAGCTATAGTCCAAAATGCAACTGCATCCATAGATTCTAGTTTTTTATTTAACCAAACTCGTCTTTTGTTATTATTTTGTTTTACTGGGTCGTTGAATGTAGTAAAATACATATAACATACAAGATACCATTTTAACTACTTTTAAGTGGTCAGTTCAGTGGCATTTACTGAGCTGAGGTGAAGGTGACCTTGGTGACTGGAGCCATCTGATGTCAGCAACCTCTGAGGCGTGGGCCGGGTGGGGCGGGGGTGGGGGGAGTCTACTGCTCTGCATGAAGTTAATGTTCTCACCATCCTTGACGTCATTTTCCTCACTGGTTCTGCTGCTCTATCGCCATTACAGTGGCCCTCTGGATCCCTGAGATATAATTACTGTCCTCTGGTGTCCCTCTTCTTCACCTTCAGGCTGACCTCATGCCCTTCAAGGCCCTAATTTCATCCCCCACCACAACCTGACATCATCAGGCAAAAGAAGCATAAGAGAAGAATTAAACAAATAACAAAAGGGGAGGGGGAAGAAAAGTTTTTTAAAAAGTAGAAAACAGTAAAAATAATAAAAATGGTTAAAAGTTAAACCAAAGAGAAAAAAAACTGTGTGTGTGTGCGTGTGTCTGTGTGTGTGTGTGTGTGTGTGTGTTCTCATTTGTCAGAAAAGTCCAGTTCTAGGCCCCCTGGGCCCACCACAAGTTTGTGCAGCCCCTCAGGGCAGAAGAGTTCTCATAGGGCTCAGGCAGTGCAGTGGGAAACGAGTCCATGTCTCTGGAGTCCATGTCCCATCACTGTTCACACAGAGCCTACAGACACTCAAGTTCACTTGATGTGTTTTGTTGACAGTTGCCAGACAACGGAATGTTCTTGCTAAGTGATCACATGAATAATGGAACATAAAGGCCAGTTCTTTATTACAGATGACAACTTGGATGAATCACATATTAACACAAAGGAATCAACACCGTGATTCTTCCAAATTAGGATGGAGCTGCCACAAGTGGCAGAGCATGTCCCTACCCAGAGCTACCGAGCAGGAGGGCCCATGCCTCTCACACCCCGGCTGGCCTCAGCAATGCCCACAAGGATGCTAGATTCTGGCTACTGGGCTGCAGTGGGCCCCCACACTTTGCATTTCTAAGACCCGTGGGGGGGCAGTCATCCTGCTCTAGATGGAAGGTCTTTAACACAGATTCTATATTAATACAGTGGCCCCTTCCTTTCTACCCAGCTGCATCTGCAATTCAACCAACCACAGACAGTTTTAGTTAGGCCCATGATGGTTGCATCTGTCCTAATCATGCACAGACTGTTTTTCTTGTAATTATTCCCTAACCAATACAACAACAGTATAGTTCTACAACTATTTACATAGCATTTACATTGCATTAGGTGTTGTATGTAATGTAAAGATGATTTAAAGTATATGGGAGGGTGTGTGTAGGTTCTACTCAAAGGCTACACCATTTTATATATGGGATTTAAACAGCAGTGAATTTGGGTATGAGGGAATGTATGAAACCAGGATACCCAGGGTCAACTATATCACCTCAGAAAGTCTCAAATCTACTGATGCCCAGCTATAGCTCCAGCTCTGCAGAGATCGGGGTTCAACTGGTCCGGGCTGAGCTGCTTCTTAAGAGTTTTTCAGTGTTCCCATGGGACTGTAATGTGCAGCCAGGGTGGAGAACAACAGGGAGATCAGGCTGCTCTTCTGGTGCCTGTGAGTGCTTCTGGTCCTGACAGCAACAGGGAGCACAGGGAGTGGGAACTGGTCCAGGCTTTTTCCCCTAGTCTTCTTGAGCTGGCCTGGGGATGGGGTGGCGGGCAGAGAAGGCAGGGTCTACCCCACCTCCTCTGGGGAGGCCAGAGGGCTGTAGCTGCCCCTAGCAGTCCTGCCGGTAGAGAGGGGAGTGGTGGGCCTCAGGGTTCAGAGGTTCACTTGGCACCAGGCAGGAGGCACAGAATCAGAGCTGGGGACACAGTGCCACTGCAGTACATCCCCATTCTACAGATGAGGGAGGAGAGGCCCAAATGATGAAGAGATGTGTCTGAGGTCACATGGCAGGTCAGTGCCTGCTGGCCCCACTTCCTGGGCAGGCTTGCTGTCTGCCAGGGGTCTCAGGGAACAGATGGCAGAATGTGAGTTCCCAAGAACAATGGGCTTCTCTCCCCTCTTTGGCCACCATACTATTCTTCCCCCACCATCCTATTCTTCATGATGTTTGAACTCCCCAGAGTTGGACCTTTAAGTGGTGACAGAGACATAAAAAAATTTACATGCCAGCTTGGTGTCAGGTTTGCCAGTCAGGGGAGGAATTTAACGGGCCTTATGGACTCCCATGTGTGCTCTGTAGGTCCTCCATTATCGGGGCTTTCTCTCCTGCACTGCCCTTGACAGGGATGAGTAGTGTCCCACTGGACCATCTGTTGTGTGTCCCCCCAGCCCTAAGCATCCTGAGGTTCCCCACCCCGGGGTCACCTGGCCTGCCAGCCAGGCGTGGACAGGCCACACAGAGCTCCCTGGCGTGCAGTCCACAGCTGGTGCCCAGGAAACTGCCATGTACCCTTCACGGCCATAAACTTGAGGATGGCAAGCTGATGGTGCTGCAGTGTGACTCCACTTCTGTTCTGTCTTCTGAGCACCTAAGGTTGGTGGGGCCCTCCCGTGGGTCTGAGCTGGGGAAGGCCAGATTGTTCAGTGTAAAGTTTTGGATATTAGGGGGTGCTTACTGACCACAGGGCCTTCCAGGTCATGAGGCTTGCTCTAAATTTTGTCTAGGAGCAGGGAAAGAACTTGGACTACTGCAAGAGTTTAAGAGACAAGTTCTGTATTTCTGTATCCTAACAGTCATGCTCTGCCCATAAGTTCATTTTCAGATTCCTTAATGTGGCTCCTACCTTCCCCTCCAGTCTGCTCTTGCACCCTGTCTCTGCAAACCCCAGTGCCCCTGCCACACTGAGCTTCTCAGCCCCTTTGATACATCCCTCCTATCCTCAGGCTGATGCAAGTGAGGTTTGCAGAATCCCCATTCTCTTTTACTGATCAACTCCCACTCACCCTCCAGGTTCCTTAATAGGTGGTACGTCATACATGCAGCCCTCCCTGGGTACCTTGTGCCCCAGAAACCCTCTGTCAGCCTTTTCTTAGAATGTTGCAAATAGCTCAGTGCACTCAGTAGGTCCCTAATGCTTATATGCTAAATAACTGCAGTGTGCACAGTGCTAACACCCTGAAACAAAGGGAGAATAATTACCTTCTTCTTCATTTTTACATTTTTGAAGATGGCATGGACCCTCCATGTCTTTGCAAACATAGCCCCAAAGGCAGTTGTGTAGCCCACGGTGAGAATCCAGGTCCTGACCTAGAGGCCACAAGAAAACAGAGGTATTAACATCCCTGAGGTGGCTGGAACTTGTCAGGTGAGACCAACCCAGCAGCAGGACTCTAGATGATGGGGACAGATGCTCCTCTCTGTGTGTTGTAGAGTCCCACCAGCCTCCTTCAATCAAACTTCAGCTTGACAGACATTTGGTTCTTTCAACCACTTGTCAAACCTTCCACCCTCTCTCCCCTCCTCCTGCTTCCCTCTTTCCCCATGGTGAGGCCACTTGGCTACTACTGGCCAGTGCAACCTTCAGAGACTTGGTACTCAGCCCCAGGCCAGTCTGGGTGCCAAGCCCACACTTGGACCTTGGGTGCCTGCTCAGGACTAAGGTCTATATGGCTCTTACCTGTTCCCCAGGATCAAAGTGCACTTCATTCCCCAGTCCTGAGCTGGCCCTGATACAAGTCTACAATCTGGGTCCCTGCAGGCAGGGACAGGCTCTGTAGTTATCAGGGGCCTCCAGGATGCAGACCCCCGACCTACACTGCCACTACTCCCAGACCTCATGCTTCCCGTCTGGGATGGACACCCTCCAACACCTCAGAGACCTGCAGTCCCAATCCCAGCTCCATCCCCTCACGGATTCCTTTTGCTCCTGCCTTCAGACTGCTGGCTCTGTGGCTCTGCAGCTTTTTAGAGAGGCACATCTCCCTTTCCCAGTCTGTGTGTCAAAGTGAATTCACTGCTGAATTCTATAAGAACTTCAGAGAGGATCTAATAATGCCAATGCTCCTCAAAGTTTTAAGGAAATTGAAAGGGAAGAAGTACTTCCAAAGTTATTCTTGCAGGATAGCACTACCCTAGTTCCAAAACCAGACAAGGACCCAACTAAAAAAACTACAGGCCAATCTCTTTAACAAACATACATGCAAAAATTCTCAATAAGATTCTGGCAAACAGAGTGTAGCAAATCATCAAAAAGATCACACATCACAACCAAGTAGGCTTCATCCCAGGGATGCAAGGATGGCCTAACATACACAAATCCATAAATGTAATGTACCACATATACAGAAGTAAAAAAATCATGTGATCATCTCAACAGTTGCAGAAAAACCCTTTGACAAAATCTAACATCCATTCATGATAAAAATATTGAAACAACAGGTATAGAAGGACCTTGTCTCAAAAAGCCATTTATGACAAACTTACTGCCAAGATCATATTAAATGGGAAGAAGCTGAAAGCTTTCCTTCTAAAATTAGGAACAAAACAAGGATGTCCATCATCACTACTCCTGTTCTCAAAACATTAGCCAGAGTAATCATACAAGAGATATAAATAAAAGGGATGTGGATAAGAAAATGAGAAGT